AACCAAAACCACCACACCCATTTCTGTCAAAATATTTCCTGAGAAACGATTCAACGTCTTTCGATCTCTCCTCCTCCGGATATGATCAAAGGGTGTTAACTCTCAGTGTGACGCTATTAAACCTTTCGCATCTTCAGGTAGCCATTTCGCTAATTCCTCGAAGGGTTGAAAATTTGAACGTTTTATTCGAATGTAAGCCCTTTCTTCGTAGATACGTTCGATTAGAAGGCCCTTGGAAAGGGTGGAAGTTCCAGCACCGGAGCTGGCGAGGTCTTTCACTGACAAATATGCGTGTTAATCGATGTACGGTTTAGTGGTGTTCGTGGGGCACACACCGACTCACAGATCATTGTTCATTGTATTGCCATGCTCGCAGGACATGGCGTCCTGCCATTCGAGCTGCTTTTTGTCGGGACCAGCTGAGTCAAAATGGCCTCCGGCCTGTGACGTCACGATTTCACGTGCTCCACACGCAATAGGTACACGCATCGATCCCGGCTACGAGTCGACAGCTTGGCCAATGAAAGGATAACGAGAACGCGTTCGAAAATTCTTCTGGAATGCTTTCCGGCAACAGGAAAATTCTATCACGAAGAAATACCGTCAAGCTAATGACCTCTATTCACTACGCGTTACGTGCAAAAGGATAGCTTTTGACTCGAAACTAGAACTATTCATCGCGCAAGAACGCGTAACGCTATTTAAAAAATAAGCGTCCTTTCACCGAACTTTCAACGCCATTTACGAGGATGAATTTAACCGGTTATTAGAAAGGGTTCCATTTTGCCCCGCCATAATTGCGTTCCGAATGTAAAGTAGCGCTAGAGAGAAATTCAAAGTATGTAGAACGCTTTGAACGGGGCGCTCTGAATGCGGCACGTTGCTTCTTGCACGAGAAGATATTCAGAGATGGGTGATCAGAGAATGTGTCGATCGATCTGAGAAATCACGACGTTTATTTTCTTCTTAGATCGGTTGATATTAGAATTAGAAGGGTAAAGAGTATTAGAAGGGTAAATTAGCTGATGGGGCTAAAGATGGGTTAGCGATTCTATTTAGTTGAAAGAGTAAATTTTTCTTTCAGCCAGTTAAGTGTTGATGCATAGAGGGTTGGCACGCGCAGCGGTTGAATAGCTAAGTCGATCCGGAGTGTCCTTCCACGAAAAAGTCGTAAAGCGAAATTCTTCGTTGGTATTAAGCCGTTTCTAAGGTATCCCTTTTCGCGTATACCCGTTTCATGTTATTACGGTGCTAATGAGCTCCACCGAGTAATCAAAGCATATGTTTCATGACACGAGTGAAAACCGTTTGAAGGCTTTTCCTTTATGTCCGTTTGGCCTTCGCTCGTTGCACCTCGGTTTCTCCTCGTCTCTATTTTCGTGCTCGCGCGTTTAAACTTCGTTTCGCGTAAAACGCCATCGTCATCTGCACTTTCGATCGAAGAAACGGTGCCACGAACCATTTTTCTTTATTATCCTCGCCAGCAGAATATTCGAAGCAAATTATTTTTCCTTCGCGAATCACCGTCCGTTGCTTTTTTATTATTATTATTTTCTCTCTCTCTCTGTTTTCATCACAATTCATTCCCCGTGTTTACCCTGCACCCACTGGTACAGGTTCGCGCAGACAAACCGCTGCTCCAGGCACTGACTGTTACTAATTAAGGGCGGTTTCAGTACGCGTGTTAATTCTTAATTAATATCTTTGTTGCCTCCTCCGACGTGGCAGCCCTCGGCACCCATTTCTCGCTCGTTCGTTCTCCATCCCTGTTCTTCTCCCGCCACCTTCTTCCAACCGCTTCCACCTTCGTTTTTCTCGCTTTCTTTCTCTCTTTCTCCCGTTTTCCATCTCGCGTGTTCAACTCAACCCCTCTTTGTCTGTCCTCGGCGACACCCCAACAGCACCGTCCACCCACTTCTCTTCTCGAGTCTCTCGAATGAAAGGAGATGTATGGGAACACACGCGCATCTCGAGCCACTATGATAGGTACAATCGGTCACGAGTGACGAAAGGAAAAAAGCAAGAAAGAAGCGCGGAGGTACGCGGGCCCGTTCCTCCGATTTATACCGTTCAACCGTTTTCAACTCGGAGAGAGAATATCTCTTTCGCGACGAATCGAGGAATCGTTGGTTAACCCCTTTGTCAGTTAACCCTCGCCACTCTCCAGCTCTCTTCTCCAACAATTCTTCTCGACCATCTAAATTGTTTTCTCCAGATTTCTTTACCCCCTAAATACATAACTTCGGTCTGTACCGTTTTGCAAATCTTTATTTGCAACTTTCTACTCTCCTTCCTCGTCACTCGTACACCGTCAATGTCTTCTCACGGAAACTAGCAACGGTGAAATCGATACTGGGAAATAAGATGATCGGACACTGACGGCTGAAGGATTTAAGAGGCTCGACCTGGAAAGCTTATGGTGCATTTATTCGATTGTCAGGTTTATAAAGTTATTCAGAGACGTGTCATGGATGTAACTTTCACCTCTTTGAGACACTGCTCTCTTTGATTAACACTAAAACTACCAAAAAGGTTCCACAAGATCCTTATTATAAATGACACAATTTTTTGATTGTTCTGATATCTGCATTGATCTTCATCAAGATAAAGAATTAATTGTTGTGTCATTTGTTCATTTATTTTTTGACTCCATTTTTCATCTCAGATTAAGTACATATTATACACTGGTAAGTTTAGTGTTAATATTTTCTGCTTGAGACACTGCACCCTTTGATTAACACTAAAACTACCAAACCGTTCCACAAGATCCTTATTATAAATGACACAATTTGTTGAATTGATTCTTCTCTGCATTGATCTTCATCAAGATAAAGAATTAATTGTTGTGTCATTTGTTCATTTATTTTTTGACTCCATATTTCATCTCAGATTAAGTACATATACGCCGGTAGGTTTAGTGTTAATATTTTTAATTGCCAACACAAAGAACCTTTAGCACCTTGTCATTGCTTGAAACGTACGAGGAAAGAATTGCTGAGAAATGTGTAAGAAGGGTGCACGGTATCAGAGAGTTTTAGCAGTGGTCTTTTTAGGAGCCCATGTATAATTGACATCACGTCAGCCAGTAAACCGGGTCTAAAGGAAAAGTAGGTGCCCTCGTGGAAAACAGGTCCTCCACGGAAAAGGCTCCCTCCGTGTTTCGCCGCGTCTCCAATTAATTGTTTTGTCATTTGTTCATTTATTTTTTGACTCCATATTTCATCTCAGATTAAGTACATATACGCCGGTAGGTTTAGTGTTAATATTTTTAATTGCCAACACAAAGAACCTTTAGCACCTTGTCATTGCTTGAAACGTACGAGGAAAGAATTGCTGAGAAATGTGTAAGAAGGGTGCACGGTATCAGAGAGTTTTAGCAGTGGTCTTTTTAGGAGCCCATGTATAATTGACATCACGTCAGCCAGTAAACCGGGTCTAAAGGAAAAGTAGGTGCCCTCGTGGAAAACAGGTCCTCCACGGAAAAGGCTCCCTCCGTGTTTCGCCGCGTCTCCAATTTTCTAGCCGTCTTTTCTGAGCGTTGCTAGTGGCAGCCCCGGGGCCGTTCCAGGTCTCCTTTTACCTCCCAGAATCCTCCGGTATTTTCCTTTGCCAGCAAATTGGACTATTACGGTAGCTCCCGTACCTCTGCGCCGTGTCCTCGCGAAAACCGCGTATTTTCTCCCTACCTTTACCACCCTCGTCTCGTCCTTTGCCTCCTTCCTACCCTTTTCCCCCGATGCCGCTTCTCTCTTGCCTAGCGAGCTCAAAGTGGCGCACAGTTGTTAAAACAACCAATTCTGTCGGAAAGCTGCTCGTTAAGGACGCCTCTCGTCTCGTCCTTGCGGAATCCTTCGTAATCCTGATGGCAAACCGTTTCGCCTGCTGACGCAATGGAAACGCTGGCCAATACAAAAATCTCTTCCACTTTGATGCATGTTTTTAAACTCCTCTTCCGGTTATATTCAGTTCTTAATGAAACAGTCAATTCTTCTGACATCTTTGTACGAATAGGAATCACAGTCCAAGGAACAGCAATTTAAAATTGAACGGTGGGCGGGTCTCCCGTTTCGGAAGTCTCCCGTTACCGATTAGGGGTGTGGTCCACCCTCGAAATATTTTGACAAGAAATTCTATATTGTTCGGAAAAAAACCATATACGGTTTCTCGTACCTGGCTCCCAAAATTCCACCCGAAGTTTATAAACTTTTTAAAGCTTTAATCGCGTAAAGTTTTGAAGGTCCCATTAAATGCAAAGTTCACGGTAATCATTCTCAACCTGTCGTTCCTCGTTTCGAGCGACATCGTTTTGCGGGTCAGGCGAGAACCGCTTAATGGCTCGGAAAAATCGGAGTCATAGCGAGTATGAATACGTAATCAGTTTTCCCGCTCATCCACTACATGACGTCATCGCAAGAGTAATGTAGCCTTGTCACGATCATGAATCTCGGTTATGAATCGTAACACTTGTTTATATGAACCCTTAGCAGTTGATATGCCAGCATTATTCACGAATTGCGTCTCTAATCTAATCCTTCATAAAGCAATATCACCTATTTGTAATCTAAATGTTAAAGTTTTGGGTTAATGCGATTAAAAAGCCGGAAAGAATCGGCTGAATGGAGGATAGAAAAAGTTATGAGGGTACTCGTGAAAGAACCCTTGTTAGAAGTCGATTTGAAGAACATTTTCAATTCTGGGTGAAAGCATACAGAATCGAAAGTTTGCTCGCATTTTTGAAAAGTTAGAAGAAGCTGAAGATGATCGCGTGGAAGAACTCGAGCGAAAAACGTAACCTCCGATAGTTTGGCCGTCTTTATCGATTCAGCGTTTCCGCTCCGCGGAAAATGAACAGAACCGAATTTTACCCCTTTGAAACTCGAGGAACCACTTGAACGTGCCAGCTGGAAACGAGGTCCTATGCGCAATTTAACACGACTAAATTCGAGAAATTCAGAGCGAAGCTACTTGATGAAACGAAATTTTGCGCGGAAAATTCTTACCTGGACTGGCGTTCGGAAACGAACTCTTCGATTGAGAGTATCCTGCAACAAAAATTATAATGATCGTTTACAAATTGTCTTTCGGAAACGCGAGTGAGTTCGTCGATACCTCGTTATTGCAAATTACGCGAATATTCGCGGCAATAATTATTCGAAGGGAATCGTAATTGCGGAACCCGGAAGATATTAAATAAAAATAGCGTAAAAGAACGGGGAATAAAGTGTATCGCGCGAAGCGAAATTTCATCTAAAAATGAAATAGAATTCCGTGAAATGTGGTTCGAAGGGGGTGGCATGCGGTGGCTGCCTCGACGCTCGACCCTGATTAACGACTCCGCGAAATTAACTCGACAATTATTTCATTAGCGCCTAGTAAGACATTTTTCATCCAGCTTCCAATGCTCTTTGGGATCCGGAATGGTAGAGAGAGACATGCACGTACTATATAACTGGTCTCGAATACGCTACCCTTAATGACTCGACGAGAATTAACTGTAATTTAATTAATTAAAATTTTATTAAAAAGAAAAAACAGCGTCCTCTTTCGCACGGGACCAGAGGCATGACCTAGGTCACCTCGTTAGAATGATTATCAGACCTCGCATTTTTTCCCCTGGAAAATTAACAGGGAATCAATCTTCCACGAGATCAAATTTAAACTCGTCGCAACTTTGATGCTCTGCAATTAATTAACCTTCCTAATTATTTGTCACGCTCCTGATACCAATTACCAATTCTATGGGTTCTTCTACACTCGCATTTTTAACACCGTTAATTTATGAAACAATTTCTGTGCAAACAGAGAAAATTACATCGGTGAAGATCAGTTCATAAAATACATAAAAAAGCACTGCTGTGAGTTTGAATTTTTTAATGAAGAAATTCTTGAGACGATTTTGACTAAAAAATAAAAGAAAGATCGAAGAAGGAAGGTCCGCCAGTATGATTCTCCTGGAAAGAGTGGCAGACCAAAATAAAAGTCAAAAAGGTTGAATTACAAGCGCGATGTTGCTCGCGAAATCGTAAAATTTTAATTATTGCGTTTCCATGATTTCCCGTTTAACGAGTGACGAGCCCCGGCTCGTCGGGGCTATACAACAGCGATATATTCGTAATTGAAGGCAATTTTGAAAACCGTAGGATCCTTGCTAAGCGCAGACGTTCGTTGAAGTTTCACTCGTTAGTTCCGCCGTTTCGGTGGATTTAATTGCCCAACACACGACAGAACAAATCCACGCGCCCGTTAATCGCGCACGGATTCTGAATCACTTTGTCGACACCCGCAGCCTACACGCTTTTTCATTTCCTGAAACGTATTTATACGTACATAAAATATTCGAGCATCGTTTGCGAGGAATACCGCTTTCAGAGCTCATCGCCCTAGGAAGGAAAATAAGTCCGCGTATTAAGACGTTTCACCACGGCCATTTTCTAATAAAGTCGTCCCTGTTGGCGCGCGGTTGAAAAACAGGGGTTGAAAAAGATTCTCGCGTTCCTAAGAAGGTTAGGGCTGGTTGCCGGTCGACGGAGCGATAAAGAGGCAAAGAGACAAAGCGGACGAGAGAAGGAGAGGAAAGTTCGCGTTTCAAGAACGACCAGCAAGAATATATTCGGTTACGAGGCTCGATATAGGTACACGGGGCTGTGGTGGTTGTAGTGCACGGCCACGGGGGCGGCAGAACTCCACCCTCAAACGACTTTAACGAGCCGCCGTCTTAAAATGGGGATGCCGAGCTTGCGCCGAGTTTGCGCGTTTGTTTGATAAATTAACCCAGAAAAGTATGCTCCGCCGTTGGGAACACTTAACAAGCCTACGAGTTGCGACCATGGGAAATGTAGAGCAAATGATACTTCAACGAATCGGTGATTAACGCTAGATCAACCCCTTCAAACTTTATTTCAAACTTCTGGATATAGGAAGATGGAAATGTAGCGATGATCTTGAGGTCCACTTAGAGCTCTAGCGACCTCGGGATCTAAGGATCTTGGAGTATAGAGATCTTTAAGTGTAATTTCTTTTAGGAGTTTGGAGATGTAGAGTGGTAGGAATCTGGGGAACTGGGTATCTGAGTACTCGGGAATTTGAGGACCTAAATCTTAAATTTCGTCCTCGTCACCTGATGCCTCAAATACCTAAATTCCCAAATTCCTCAAGTCCGAAATTTCAAGTTCCCAAACTTGCAGGTTCCCAAATTTGCAAATTCCCAAATTCTCAAACTTGCAAATTCCCAAATTCCCAAATTCCCAAATTCCCAAGCTTGCAAATTCCCAAATCTCCAAATTCCCAAGCTTGCAAATTCCCAAGTTTGCAAATTCCCAAATCCCCAAATTCCCAAGCTTGCAAATTCCCAAGCTTGTAAATTCCCAAATCCCCAAATTCCCAAGCTTGCAAATTCCCAAATCTCCAAATTCCCAAACCCGCAAATTCCCAAGCTTGCAAATTTCCAAATCCCCAAATTCCCAA